CAATATTCTGGAAATGTTATGTGTTTGTTACTCACCAGCTTTCTGGTCTCCAGACACTACCAAATATACTAAACAAATAAGCACTTAATAATGTCTTCTGGAGCAAAGAGTGGGTATCTGCCTCAATGACACATGGGACATTGGCATTTTTTGAGTGGCACTCAGCTGTGGAAGAGTGGGCATTGTTGCCTTTAGCACATGATAAGTTTGAACATGCCAGTGTTTCCACTAGTGTCAACCCAGCCACGTACATGTTGGAGTGTCTGTCTTCTGCATGGCTCCCAGATCTGACACAGTGCCTATATATACTCAAAGTATAAATTACCTGGGTTACACTGTCACTGCAAGGGGAGAGTTCAATAGAGCCTTCTGCAGTAGCTCTTCCAGGCCTGTAATCTGCACAGAAGCCAACACCGGTGTTGTAAAGCTGTAAGTAAAGGTTTATACTGAAATAAATTGCAATTGGATACAAAATATCCTTCAGCTAACATTTTGTGATTGTATCCCTTTATAATATATGATTTTGTTCATAAATCAGGAACTATTTTTTTTCTTTCAGACTTGATCTTGCATATTGATCTTGCAAATCAATGTGATGTAAAAGGCAGAGTTTCTCCAAGGGTCATTGTTACCCAGTGAGTTTTGTTTAAATTAGAGAGATTCACTTCTGGGTTTAACTATTGTGATAATTAAAAGAAAGGTATCAAAATGTTTATACTAGTGGAAAATCACACTTCAACAGAACACTGTAGTCAGAAAAAACACAAGATATTCCAGAAGAAAAGAAATGTGACAGATCCACACTCAGTTCTTACACTTTTCTCAAGCTAACTTTGAAAATAAAGAGCACATAAAATAGTAAAAGGACACAGTAAAATCTGGCTAAAGATAGCTGAGTGTGAATTAATTAGTAGACCTTGTTGCCTTGTTGGGGGAAATTCCATTCCAGTAAGGCTGCTAGGAATAAATTAATATTTAATGAATTATAGTTATCAACTATTTGTTTAAAAAAAAACAACAAACCAGACATTAAGAATATTTTGTCCTGTACACAGTCAGCCAGGGAACTGCTATTGCTATCACTTCTGTCCTTTGGGAAGTGCAGGACTGAAGAAATGCTTTTTTTTTTCTCTTTGTGCACATGGGTCAGCACAGAGATATCTTTGCTGCTGTCACTTCTGCCATCTGCATGAGCAACACAGTTCTTTTCCTTTACTAATGGCACCTGAAGAACCTAAGGTTAGGATCCTCTGAGCTGTGACACTGAACTGAGTCAGACACTCTGGTTTCAGGTCCTGGCTGGTTTTTAACATTTATATGAGAATTTGGGCCAGCTCTTTGTCTCTTTTTCTTTCTCCTCCCACCCTGGTTGCACTGCCTGTTTGGACTGAGTGCTCAGGACATGGAAGTGACACTGGAGTCTTTGAACAATGCAAAAAAAAGAGATCATTCTTTAGAGTGTGTTTTCTCTTACCTTGCCAGAGAACCTTGGTGTGTCTCCAGGTTGGGAGAGTTCAGGGTACACATTTGATATAAACCACTGGAAATCTTTACAGCCCAGTCTCTTCTGTAGCTGAAGGCGCTCACTGCAGTCTGGCTTCTCTGCCTTTATGGAGAAAGGGAGAAAGGGCAACAAGGTTCCTGGTGTATTTGTGTTAGAGATGCTAAGAGTGGAAATGAATTATTTCTACCACCTTTTCTATCCTGAATGTTACAGATACTGATATGTATCTCTTATGACATATGCAAAGAGGGAGATTCAGCTATAGCCTTCCTCAAACTTTGTACCAAAACAGCCACAGTCTGGCATTGTGACAGAAGTGTTTCAGAAGTAGCATTGTGAAAATGCTACTCTATAAAAGTTATTATTATACTGCAAGATAAGTCAGTCTTTGTCATATTTTTGTTTTAAAAAGTCCAGGATCAAGTTTGATAGTTGTTGCACTGAAATTCAGTGGGATTGTATTAGATTGCCATTTAATATAGAATTTTTCCTGCTGATAAAATCTCAGTTTCTTTGCCTGTAATGGCCCAAATTACCCAGTTACTGTCAGTCCTTTGTGATCAGTGGGAATAAGTTATGACAGAATTTAGCCCAAAATGTAGTCTACCACCTATTGTCTGTTATCTTACAGTTACTAAATCTGATGAACAAAGGTGTTTTGCAGCTATAAATGCATAAAACCTTAACTATGATTTCTCTGTTTTCTTGAATTAAAAATACACAATATCAGCTCTCAACTTTCCTGGTAGTAACTCTATTATGAAAGAAGACAAATGCTTTCAACTCTTGGTGCAGCTGCAGACATCTGTTCTGCAAAGGACTGACAGTCTAAATATTTGAGGGTATTTAGCACTAAATATGACTAACGGGGTTCTCAAAACCTCTAAGCACTTATGTGTCTAATTCTTCGGTTTCAAAACCACACAAAACGCTTTTCTAAGTCTCTCAGTGCCCAAATATTAAAAACATCTAATGACCCTTAAAAGTCTCTCTCCTCTTTCTTGCCAGCAATAGATCTCCCATCTTCATGTTTCTACTTTTAAAAATGCAGTTTGGGATGGGATTCCAGGAAACTGGTCTGGATTTCTTTGTCACAAATTAGAATTAGTAATGTAAGCAGAGAATTGCCTGTAAATAACTATTTCCCAGACCAGCTATTTCTCTGTATCCGTAAGAAAAAAAGAAAAGGACTTTGCAGCATGGAAAACACTAACAAATGAAGGCCTTGGAGATAAAAGGTGAGGTTCAGTCTCTAAATGCAGGGATCAATCATTCCATACCTCACTGTTTGCCAGCCCTTGGAAACTCTACAGGCAAAGCTTAACAGTTGCAGTATGTTAAAGAGAACCTCATACTTCAGTGTCAGTCTTAGATTCCATAAGCATAACAACAAAGTTTAGGAGTTCTGCATCACACAAACCTGTCCTCTAGAGGTTTTCCTGGAAAAGGGAAAGAGAGAAGTAAAATGCTTCCCCTAAAATGACATGTTTCTTATGAGACTCTGCTTTGGCTGAGGAAGGCAATGGAAGTAAATCTTATTTTCTAGTTACAGTCTGCATTTGTGCATTTGCTGCAAATGGTGTAAATAATGTCAAGAAAGTCATTGTCCCTGTAAACCAATCTGAAAGGAAACTGTGCTTGTAAATTAAATATGCAAAGCACACAAGAAAAGGAGCAGAAGAGCTGGTGGCTGAAGTAGTAGAAAGCTGGAAAGAGCCTAATTCATCTGTTTAATGCTCACACCACAAGCATTCTGTGCAAGATGTGATTCTGACCATAAACCAAAATGGGTTATAAAGCCATCTAAATGGGGGTCACTGGTTGTTTTCTGGAATGAGAAGTGGTGGTGGTGAAGGCTCACAGAGAATTCTGTAGTGGCCCATAGGTGGCTCTGCTCACCCTCTCAGCACAATAAATCCCCTCAGGGCCCTTTGCAGCTGAATGGCAATAATGTCCTTGCTTGCTTGTGCCTTTTGAATAACATCCCACTGCACTGACAGGCTGAAAACATCGGCTGTGAAAGAAAGGAACACACAAAAAGGGCCATTTATGTTATGGTACACTGCACACAGAGATCATAAAATTGATAATTTGAGGGAGCATCATACTCAGAAGTAGTAAAAGTATTTTGGCTAGAATAAACTCAGGCAAAAGCTCATGCTTACAGCTAGGAAGCTGTATCATTGGTCACTGTAGGTTTTAATAGGGAAAATTGCTTCTGAGCTGACAAAAAAAGCCTTCAGGGAATTATTAAATGATTTAAAGACCTCACTGCCCATTTGAAAAGGTTTGGTCTAGTGGCTATAACCCTTTGGGAGTCAATTGACTGACAAAGCTCCTGGCCAGTGGAGTTCAAACCTGCAACACAGACAAGGAGGGCGGATCTTTTAGAAATATGTGAAAATAAGAGTAAAAAGGAAAACATAATAGTTCCAGGCTCTACAATTAGTAGGCTGACTGGAGAGGCAGATCCACTGGTGGAACATAAAGAGGTCAGACTACGTGACAAGAGAGAAGTCATGCTGATACAGTCCTGTTCCTTTCCCCACTATGGAAAGATGCAGCTCCTGCTGGATCTGGCTGTCTTGGGTGATGGCCAGCCCTGAATGACTGAGGCATGCAGGACGTGTACGACTGGAGCCAGTGGTGCTCACCAGTGCAGATGAGCTCATTAAAGCATCAGGATAGGTGGCAGCCTGGGGCTGTAGCAACCAAGCCTTTGTTGAGTTTGTGATCTCAAGGAGTGTGAGCCTGGTGAGGAGCAAAGTCAGGACCCTGAACTGTGCAAGAACAAACTTCCAGCTGTTTAAGGAGATCCCCTGGGAAACTGTCCTTAAGCTGGAAACTCTTTAAAGACACTTTTCCTACAGTGCAAGAGCTCTCTATCCCGGTGTGTAGGAAATTGAGCAAGGCAGACTAGAAACTGGCATGGCTGAGCAAGGATCTGCTCCTCAAACAGAGGAGTAAGAGAGAAATGGACAGACAGTGAAAGTGATGACAGGTGACCTGAGGAAAGTTCAGGGATATGGTTTGAATGTGTAGGGGTGGGGTCAGGAAAGCCAAGGCAAAGCTGGAACAGCACTTGGCAAGAGACACAAAGAATGACAAGAAGGGATTCTATAAATACATAGGTCAGAAAAGAAAGGACAAGGATAGTGTAACCCCCCTCCCTGATTATAACCAAGAAGAGTGAACTGGCGGTGACTGATATGGAGAAGGCTGAGTTGTGTTTCTCAGTCTTTGCTGGCAGTCAGGCTCAAGATCCTGATCTTCTGATTGAGTGGAGAAGGGGAATGAAGTCCCCTCCCCCTGTAAGGGAAGGGCAAGTTTAGGATCAGTTGATGAAACTGAATAGAAGTAAAGGCTTCAGGGAGAATTTAGAGCAGCTTCCCAGTACCTAAACGGGACTTACAAAAAGAAGCAGTAGTTTTAAACTGAAAGAAAGCAGGTCTAGATTATTTATTGGGAAGAAATTCTTTACACAGAGGGTGGTGAGGCATTGTAACTGGTTGCCCAGAGAAGCTGTATAGGAAACCGCATAGCACCTACCCATGCTCTGCCTAAATGCTTTCAGGGAATCTTTTTCTCCTTAAACACATGGCATCGTTAAATGAACAGGAAGATAAATTATACATTTTCATTCAAAACTGCTCACAAGTTTGTCCACTGCCTTGTAGAAAGAATATGAGTACAAGAAAAGGTATCAGAGCCAGAGAATTTCTGAGAACTGCAGCAACATTAACAACATTAACTACACCAACAGCATTCCCCACAACATTAACAACATTAACTACACCAACAGCATTCCCCACAGCTGCAAGACTCCCAATAAACAAACATCTGCTTGTTTGTAATTCAAGGGATATACAGTTCCTTGACCACCCCTGATCTGCCATGGAGACTGTACTTAAAAACCGGGTGTGGCCATTCTGTAGTTACTGGATTTTGTGTAACCTGCAGATGGTTCAAGTGAAGCTGTGTGCCAGGGCTACACACACCTGCCTGCAAGCCTGTCCTGGCTTACAGGCTGCTGGGAATCCAAATTCCTGGAGGAATGTCTAGTCAGATGTCTGTGCCATGCTTCTAAGAAAATGTAACTTGTAAATAGTGGTGTGTTGATATCTCACTTTCTCAGTTCAGTTACTTCTGGATACATCAGTTCAGGGAAAAAAACACACCTTTTTTGTCACTAGACCACTCAGATATGTTGCCTTCCAGGATATATATGGCAGGACTATAACTTGCCACTCACCTGTGAATAATACTGAATATCCTCAGGAATCATATGAGGAAGACCTTCAATAGCCAAGAATGAACCCTCTAGGACAGTCCTTTGAGCACACAGTGCTGCAGGCTTCCACTTAAGATACATCACAACCCTTCATGTACTATCAGTGAAAAAACAAACCACAGCTTGTTGGGGAGTCATTTGAAGAGGTTATACTCCACAAAGTTTTATAGCTTCAGCACAAGGCTGAACTTAGGCACAAGTTTCTCTCTCTCCTTCCTGATCTTTCACCAGAAGTTTTAATAAAAAGATTATCTCCTGCATCTGACTGCGTACAGACAGCCCCATTCCTATTCCTCTCCCTTCACCTATCTCAACACAAACCTCTGAAACAAACCTCTGCAGATGTCTTTACCTTGCTGATTAAGAAAGCTACTGTGTCATGCTTGTAGAAGTTCTCTTTAAATGATCCCAGCCAGGTCTCTGCTATTCGGATTTTGTTCCTCACAATGGCCTCTTCATAGGAGAAAGCACGGGGGAAGTGATTTCGATAGACGTGCCCAACTCGGGAGCATGGGATAATTTCTACAGAGCCACCACAGAGCCAAGTCTGAAACACAAGTGAAAGCACAAAAAGTGATTACCTTATTTAGATTACTTTTATCTGAAATGGAGAAGCTTCTTTACTCTAGACTCTGCTTCAGGAAATCCTGGAAACAGCAAGAGCATTATTATATGCTTCTTCATACATTGCTCCACACAGACACAGAGAAAATACTGGGCATTCAAACCTCTGATTGACCCAGTATGGCTATTTACATGTTTTTGTTTTTCTGTTCACCAACAGTGCAGAGTAGTGGAGAGATCTGGATGCACAACTTCCCTTGTCTGGTACAATAAAAACATTATGCCCTTTGTGCCTGCAACTTTCATTGGTTTTCAATATCAGTTACTCTTTGTATTTAGCAAAAATCAATGCAAAGGATTTAATATAAACAATTTGCTATTAAAACTACAGGCTGGCAAAGAAATAAACCTACTCTCCCTTTGGTGCATATTAACATGCCAGAATAGTAGAGGCAGCTTTCAGAGGGTGCCAAAAGCAGTGACTCAGGCCTCAGGCAGATAGTGATAGCAAGCAAAACTTCCTTCTCCTGACATAATGCTCCTAACTCACAGCAGCTGCATGTTCTTGTATAGTCCTGACAGGCTGTGGAGCGTGGGGATAGATTTCTGCAGGGAAGGTTGTAGTCTCCATAACACAACATGTTCTGCACTGTTCTTACAAATATCTTCTTGCTTTATCACTCAGGTTCCTTAAAATTGCAATAGTTATCACAGCTTGATGTTTTAATTAAGGTCCTTACCCTAATAGATAGTTCAAGGTTTTCTGCTCCCCACATGGTCATGTCAGAATCATAAGCTCCAGTATTTTGGAAGTAATGTCGATCCATGGCCACCACTGCACCAGCAACTGCAGGACTCCTGTGTGGAAAACAGTTTCGAAGTGAACACCTTGAATTATGGATGAGAATTACACAGAGGGTGAAAAATTCCACCATTTCCATAGAGAGAGTATTACAAAATGATTCAATAATTCCGTATAAGCTTGAATGAACTAATTTGATTATCTAGCCAAAATAAAGAACAGCTGGAGTGTAATTCAAGGTTTTGCTTGAGGAAGGGAGCTCAGAGCTGAATTATCAAGTAAGACTCAGAACAGTGGGGAACATTACACATACATGTACATTCAAAACAAGAGACAAACACATCATGATTAAGACATCTCTTTTAACTGTGTATGATCACTCTTTTGCTTTCCCTACAAACCTCCACACCTTGTCTGGTCAGGCTGTACTCTAGTTGTGTCAATGTGTGGAAAGTATTTGTCACGTTGGAAGTGTGACTGCAATCTAATTAGAATGATTACTAAAGACCAAAAACAAACAGCACGAACAGAAAAACTATCCCTTCAGAGTTATTAACTGAGCATGTGCAAGTAACCACACCTTTCTCTTGTTAGCTGGAAGATGACCCAAGATGACCCAAACTGTACAGTTTTGCTGCTGAGCTGAGCAAGGCACATTGTCTGATGGACTGTTACCTGATAGGGCTGATGGGAGACTGTCGTACCTTCTCTTCATGCTCTGGCACTGGCTCCCAATGAAAATCTAATTTCCAATTAAAAACACCTCGATGCAGGCCCACAGAGTGATAGTACTGAAAGGTCTTCCAGTCTATGACATCTATGACAGGGGAGACGACACTGTTTCTGAAAAAGACAATACCATTTATTTCCAAAACCAAAGCATAAATTAAATTCATTACTCTATTAGTAAACATTAGTTTTCCTCTTTGACACTGTCAAGCACAAGCACTCCTCTAAATGCTGAGTGCCCTTAGTTTCCCTGCTGACAGAAGCTCTGGTGCTCAGTGCTTGAGAATATTGAGCATGCAGTGAAGAGTCTAAAGATCAATAATTTACTGATACCCTGTACCTTGCATTATCATTTAATACTGTCTAGGATTCTGTTATAAGTTAACCATCAGAATTCTCATAAAGCTATTTCACACAGAGGCCCCAGCCTCTGATGCTACAGGCTCTGCATGGATGCAATTTTAATAGCAGAAGATGATTTTGGCCTCTCATACTTTACCATCCTTTGATTTTCCTGTAGATGTTGCACACACTTCATGAGTCTGCCGCATCAGGCCAATAAAGAGTGCACTTATCCTTAGTTTTTTCTGCTGGTTGTTTTGAAAAAATATTTCTTACTGAGTTCATAAGCCAGTGTCTCTTTGTATTTTATCACAGTCTTGCAAATGCACTGTCACGGCGTGGAATCTACTTTTAAGTGCAAGAACAGAGACATTGCACTGTAAGTGACAATCCTTGAATTGATTTCTAACTTCAGTTAGATTTGGATCAGTCTGAGAAGCGGTAGTAGACATTTCCCTATGGCAAAGAAGTCACAGTATTTCACAGTGTACTTGCACATCATCTTTGAATTAACTGGTAGTTCAGAATTTTCTTCAGTGTTCCTTGTTTTCAGGTCACTGATATATCACATTTGGAATTTTTCAGAGTATGAATGAAATGGTATTAGGGACTGCAGGGAAAAAGTGTTGAAGAATAACATTATCCATTTTTTCTCAGTTATGCTTAAAAACATAGTCTCTGGTCTCAGTGCAAAGGCTTGTCTATAGACAGAAGTTCCTCTGGAGAAAAATCAGTAATATTTAAGAGGGATTAAAGTATACTGAAAGACATTATTATTGTTCTAGAGTGGGAATATCTGTGTGGGAAATTATTCCCTAGGAAATAACTTCCTGTTAAAACAGAGGGAGGGAAAAATGAAATGGTCAATTTGAGGGCAAAATGTAGGTGTTTTTACCTCCTCTTTTAAGATATATATGTTGGTCAGAAATCACAAGGAGAGAAATTTGCTTGAAACATAATATTGTCAGTGAAGAAACGACATCTCAGAAGTCTCCAGTGCACTGAGACATTTGTATTTTTCTGTGGCAGAGGCCAGAACCAGCTAAGGAAGATGGTAGCTCTGGGTGATGTCAATGTAATCTTGACATATCTTGCCTTCACAATCACTAGAACAATGTTTTTTCAGTATCAGAGTGGGGGAAAACTCCCAACTTTGTTTTTTCACAGTTGACATTTCCTGTAGAGGATTTTAGAAGCCCACAGAGAAACAGACTACTGCTTGCCAGTTGATAAAACAAAGATGAACCATGCAGAAGATTGCTTTAAAATTACTCAGTTTTGTCTCCTAGTAAGAGCAGACTGTCCTATGATGAGCTTAAGCCAGGAAGATTCAAAAAAAAAAAAAGATTTTATTTCTCTGCTCACGTGTAAAACCATCCTTTATAATATGCAGTAATAGGGACTCTTAGAAACAAGCATCTAGTTTATAAATAAGTGAGAAAATTTTATGGTCATATGCAGCATTTGCAGGCATATTCATCAAGGCAGTGAGTTTCTGTCATCCTTCTGCAGGACTCAAGAAGAAATGGAAAGAAGTGATATTAAAAATAATAAAGCTGATATCCTTCCCTGATTCTCCTAATGATGTCTCTGTGATAGAGTTTTGCATCCATGACAGGAGAAACCATCCAGCTCTCAAGCCAGCAAAGCCCTTTCTACTGAAAGCTTTACGCACTAACAGCATGCAAAGCAAACTACCTGCTTCTAAAAGTTACTAAAGGTAGTGTCCCACTGGACTCACGCAAACAGGCATTTCTTTTCTTTGTTATGCTGGGGGAAATCCATCTGACAAGTTAAGTGGATTTAAAATGACTAAATGTCAAAAAATAAAAAGTCACTGTAACAGTAATTTCTACAGCCTGCTGCATTCTCCAGTGTACGAGCATCTCTGACAGCTGCCTGGTTGGGAGCGTAATGAGGCTATAGCTCCCACCTCAGTTTGCTGCTGCTTGCTAAAACCCACACTATCTATTGCAACTGGGGTATCCATTCTCATTCAGACAGGACTGAGGAATTAATGACCCCAGGGTAGTTTATCTTACAATTTCAGATTCAAGAGGGAAATATCAGGAAGGTGTACTTGAGTGGAAGCCAGAAGCAATGTGGACTAAACCACTCAAAAGACCTTGACCACGCAGGCTAGACCACATGAACTGATCCTGGATAGTTCAGATAGAGACAATGCAAATACAGACACACTCAGATATATTCTGGATTGGATGATCCAGACATTTCAGACTACCCTACATTTTCATATCATTGTAACTATTTAAAATTTGTCTTTTTTTTTTATCTACCTTGAATTTGTTGCTACTATAAAGCTCTAAACTCCAATGGTGCTTCTCGTATCAGTGCAATTGCTCACAAGAGTAGGCACCACAATAGTAGTTCTAGTAACTGGGCATCGATTCTTCAAGATTCCAATACAAGAAATATACCAATAAGGACATAGTGGATTCTGATAGTTTGGAGACCAAGCAATTATCCAAACTATCTGCAAATTATGACATGGAAAATTACAGTGTTTAAGCTGAAAATAATTCACAGGAATAGGTCATGTTCTATCCAGGCTAAATTCAACCATAAACCAGAACAAAATAAAATCTGATCTCCTTTCCCACAGAATTATGTAATTCCCAGTAAAAAATGATAAGTGTGTTTTAGAGCTACTACTTGTGTAGTTTTTTCAGAATGCCAAGAGTAACAATTTTCAAGAATATGTTTTTAAGAATAATTCTAGACCTTCACCTAGTGTAAGTATAGTATAATCCCAATGTAGCTCTGCTGAAACCAACAGAAACACACCTTCTTAAAACTAAATATTTGGGGTGTCTTTCTGATCTGAAACAGGAATGTAATAGCTTTATCTTGTGTGAAAATTGGTCAACATTCAAATTTAATCCTAATCAAGCAGTGCTTTACCCATTTTCTGGTTGGTATGATTTAAAAAATGTAAAATAGCAGTTTTCTGCATATTCAATGAGGGTTTGATATTTGTGTAGTTCTAAATGCAAATTTGCAGTAGATGGTAATTGGAAGATGTTCTTAGCTATTCTTGTTTTTAACTGGGTAACTGGCAGACAGCAGCTTCACAGCACTTTGAAATGAAGTACAAACTACTGCTAATTTTACTCTGTGGAATCCAAGGAAAGGGGAAAACAGGAAATTCAACTACAACTAGCAGCAATGCTTTGAACTGTTTGACTAATCTGTGAATATTTCAAATGCTTGGAACTCACACAAATTACAAAATGTCACAATTCCATGAAAAAGAGCAACCCAAACAAGAACAATTTCCTGGTTTGGGATTTCTTTACCAAATACAATTGCAAATGAAATGTCTTCCCATGACCCTTTACAGTCAACATGGACTTTATGTTCTTTTCTAATTTTAAATATGGGGAGAGGTAGTTTTAATTAATGTATCTGTTTTGAAGTTTTGGATACACTTTTTTTGAAAGTTCTTTTGTATTGATTTATACTTTATTTTGCTGGGAAGGGAATGGATTTTAATCTGTTTAAATCCTCCTTTAAAGATGGGGGAAAAAAACCCCAAACCAACCCAAAACCAAATATGAAAATTATGTATATTCCTTAACCTATTTCAAGGTGCATCATAGCTTTCAAAAATTAGATAGCTAAGAAATCCAGCCTATCCTGGCTCTCTCTTTCTGCACACAACCAAAACTTCAGTGAGTAACTGAGGACCCAAGCTGGTTCCACAAAATGCTGCATTTCCACTGAGAGCCCCTTGCTGGCTAACTGAAGTCTTAGAAATACAGACCACTTGAAATTAGGAAGGGTTAATAAGAAAATAAAATGCAGTGATAAGGAATGGCAAAGCTAAGTTATAAAGGATTACCTAAATTCTGCCTTACAGACCAACTCCAGACTAACTTAGGGCATAGGAACAGTCTATTTGAATGGGTGGACTATTAATATGCTAAGCACTAAGCAAATCTCTGCAAAGCAGAGTGCTAAGGGAATGCTTTGGAAATGCTTTATTAAAAAATAATAATTTTTGAACATGCCTTTTTTGCTAAAATATTAAAATTTCTATGTATAGTAACAGAATCTGTAGAGGTAACCAACACCTTTTAACACTGGTCAGTCGTGGCACTGAGCCATGAATTATGCCTAAATCTATATTGCTCCTGTGTTTAGCAGTAATATTTGCCTTTGGCTTTAGACTCCTGTCTTTATTTTCTTCACCTCAACTTCTTTAAAATAGGTCACCTACTGATCCTGATCAACTGTGAAAGATTGTGAAGCTTATCTTCCCATATCCTACCATGTAAATGCAGAACATTTACTGAATTTGAAATGAGTGCTATTGACAAACGGGGGATATAAAAGGAAGGAGCAAACACAGAAATCCCAGGAAGCAGGCTGTTACATGTGAAGTGTATGGAAGGCTTTCAAAACAGGGAGAGCAGCATGGAATTGCATGCTCAGATGCTGGGGTTGTGTGGGTTAAGCCTGTGAGAAGTTAGAAAACAGATGGCTCATGTATTTAGTAGCTCAAAAAGCTGGGATATAGGCCACTGAAAAGTGGAGAATCAGAATAAAAGAGATGAAGAAGCTGTTCATCTCTAGTGCAAAATATTTCCTTTCTCTCTTGTGTATTATCATAAAATCAGGACCACACAGAAGATTTCTGGACAGCAGAACTCCTTCTATTCCTGGATCTACAGGAAGCAGAGCCTTCCATTTGTTCCTGATGGGAGCACACAGATGATGAAACACGTTTCCACTGCTATGTTAATTTCTTATTCTGTTTATCAGCATTTTCATTAAAGTGACCTAGAATCACAGTGCTGAGGCACTTTGAATTTTAGAAACCAGATAAGCTTTTTAAAATAATATAACAGGCTTCTCTTTCCTAATCTAATATTTGAGCTGTGGCATAGGCAGTGCTCCAGCACAGAAACAGCCCTTGCAATGAGGAGCAGGGGAAAGGTCCTAAGGTTCAGCTACTCCTTTGCAAACCACCCTTCTGTCCATAGTTATGGTACCCAGGCCCCTTTTAGAGGTGGAATTCCTTGTCAAGGATATAATCACGGTTCGTATTGCTTTCATGAAGTATTTTAAGGAAATATGTTTTGGATTTTTTTTTTCATCATCCTGCTTCAGTACTGTGTTCTTAGATCAAAGGAACAACATTTTTAAGGCTTCATGGAACAGTTCATTATATGCTCCCTCTGCCTTTCCCTGCCTTTGGATGGAATACAAAATAGCAGCTCTGCAGTTTCCTGGAAAAGGCAAACCCTTCCAAAGATGACTGTAATAATAGCTCAGCTGCATTGTTATGCACCATGCTACTCACCTGGAATTAGCCTGGAACACAAACAGTTGTCAAATTAAATGATCTGTGGGATATCTCATGTAGTTTACTAATATTGTCCAGGTACCTACAGTATTCATCCCTGAATAATCAAAATGTCAAGGAATGCTTTAGAAATCACTGAACCATTCTCTAGGCAATATAGTAAGCTGATGCACAGCTTCCCAGTCAATTTATTAGATATGGTTCACAGAACTAGTCCCAAACAAGGTGCTCATAAGCGTATATCCAATGATTTTAGAATGACTTAATACATTTTTCAGAAAAATAAATTAGATTGGATTAATGAATAAAGCCATCATGTAGGGAGATGAAATGTCATTACCTAGAACAGGTCAAATATCTGCCAAGTATTTCTGTATAAATGTTTCTATACCCATAAAACTGGGATAGTTTTTCTTATATTTATCCTACAGTCTGCTAAGTACTGGGAGTATTTCTCTTGTTGTATGTTCAACTCACAGTGAGATCTCAGTCTGGGCAAGGATCTCTCAGCATCACTCTAAGACAGATCACAATAATACTGACACTTTGATCAGGAGTCTATAAAATTAGGTTTAATCACAATTTTCAAAGTTGAAACCACTCTACACCTCCCTTAAGCTCCTGGAAATGTTTGAGCTTTGAAAGGCTGCATTGGTCTTTGCCAGCAAACAACTGACTCACTCCAGGTGGTTTTTTGACCATCCTGTCCCTCCACTAAAAGTGCCTGAGTTACAGTTTGAACGGTACATTAAGAAGAGGAAAAATGGATATTTCAGCAGTCATTTTCAACTCCCTGTGCTTTCCTCACTTGAGTAGTCTCAGGGAGTGCACATGATTCAATTTAACAGCTCCTCAAGTGCTAAATGAGGCCAAGTTGACTATACTGATGCTTTACTTTTCCATGCAAGCATTACAAGCAATTAATAGCAAGTCATGAATTAACTTCCTTATCAGGTCAGTATTATTGTCATCATTCTTCAGTTGGAGAAAGAGGGACAGTAAGGGAAGGTGACTGCTGGGTGCCTTAGACCTTATCTTCCCACCTCAGCGGAGGATGTCACAGGTTCTCCTCACTAGGAGTGAGAAGGCTTCCAGGATCAGACTCAGTGACTAATACAGCACACAAAAAGGGATGGCTTAAACCATACCATTATTCAATCAGGTTTCCACCTTTGTTTCATTAATCCAATTACATATTAGTTTATTTACTGTTAAATTCTGCTCTCCTGGAGTAATGAATGAACATATGGGCCCTATAAAGGAAAATAATTCTTTTCTCACCCTCTGGTGACAGTGCTACAGAATCTCTGAATAATAGCATACTTGGAGGCTTTGCATTCCCTCAGGAGGGATAATTTTTGACAGTGAGTTTTTGACATTGTGGGGTTGTGGGGTCCTAATTTCTCTCTTGCTGTTGTAATTCTCCACTATAGCTCTCCTCTGAGACTGTTCGTAACTTTTAATTTTAGTAATTTTAAAGTACAGTCATAAAGACTGGCCAACTGATACACACTGTAGTTTTGCCTGAACATTAAAAATAGACTATAGTTCAAGGCAGAAGAATCATGAAATATATTCACAGTAAATAATCTAATTAGTCAGCAAACAAAAATTTGCTTTTACAAGGAGGACCTTTCTGAAAAGAATATTCCTGACATTCTAGCACAGCATTATTCTTGCTTTCAGTATTCTTAATGTTTTCATTCAAATGATGTAATAATTTCAAAAAGTGCACATTAATTCTCTTATAAGCAAACATAATAAGCCATAAAAGCAGCTTCTTCCAGTGCTTGGGAACAGTCTTTGAAGGTGTTTAGCATGACTATTTAACAGTCTAGTAAGAGTTTAAAGGTTTTTTTTTATTTTACCCCCTCTAGCAATTATTTTTTTCCCAAATGACAAGTTAATGTACAAATTTTTTCTTTCCAAAAAGTCCCTTTAAAAAAAGATTTACTGACATGTAAGCCTAGACACATTTGCAGTGGTTTTAATCTTTTCAAAGGACTGCATAGATGAGCTTAGCTGTACACAGTAGAGAGCAGGCCCAAGAATCACCCTAAACATGAAACACTCAGAAATGTGAATCACTACCTTACTCTGTTGCTTTGGTGTCAGTGAAAGCACTGGTGATTAGCTGGACCTGTCTAGGCTGCCCAGGCTATCTGGGCTTTTTCTGTGGAAGAGAAATGGTGGCCAAAAGGTGATGTTGGTACACAGCCAAACTGGCTCAGGAGGACAAAGCATTTTATTCTTGGCTTCATCAGTGAGATGGCTAAAAAGTAAAAATAATGGAGTCTTGCAGTAGCTTTCTCTGGTGGATGTGTGCCGATTTACAAACATGTTGAGACTGAAACCTTTTTAATTCAGACCACCAGGGAGACTTCTTAAAGCTCTAACTGGATACAAATTTTGAAATTTACACTGGGTGTAAAGTGAGGGTTATCAGCTCTGAGACCTATCCTGCTTCCCACATATCAAAGTGATGCATATGGTGATAAGGTAGAAAATAAAAGGGATGTGACCAGAAGCAAGAAGGGAGCCAAGGGAGGATTACAAAAACTACCCAACAATTTCCAAACACATCCCTTTCAGCAGAAATGTGCATATCCAGGGATATTTACCGGTTGCTGGAGAGCCTGGCCAGGAGGGGTTCCAGCCAGCCCTTCTGACACTCGCAGTGTGAATCCATGAAGATGAGCACATCCCCGGTAGCCCGTGCAGCTCCTAGCATCCGACCTCTGATGACTCCAAGCCTCTTGTTGCTCCGAATGAGCTTCACACCATCCAGCTTAGAGATGTATTCGCTCAGAGCTGACTTCAGGGGCCCTGTCAGAAACAGAACAGTCACTGAAATGTTTTTGTTTTGATTCAAGCTGTTACAGAAAAGAAACGGGAAGCAGGAGATGCTACTTCTTGCTGGTAAAATGTTTCAGAGGTATTTGTTTTAAATGGCCAAGTAGGCCACATTTCAAATATTTCTACAGCAACATAATGTCAAAGGGAAGTAGAGACTAATGGAACCTGAGATTCACAAGGTAGGAAGCTATTCCTGTGGGAGTCTTAACAGCCTCTTCTCCTGTTTTTAGCAAAAGGTGGATGCTCTCATCATCTCATAAAATACACAGATGAGAGTGAGATACTACAGGTCTTTGCTTTCCCAAGCCAAGCTACTTTAGTTTGGACTACTTTAGCAATGTGAACTTTTCCACTCTATGCTTCAGCCAAAATCCAGGTCTGGAAATTATGACAGCAGATATGGTCCAGTGGGAATCCTAAGATTTGCATACTGTGATCTTATTTTAAAGTGAGAAAGTTCAGAGTGTTGTAAATGATGTGGGGGAAAAAAGAAACATATGTCAAAGCTGAAAGTCTACGCTGAATTCTAAGGATGGATTGTGAAACCAGGTAGCCAGCTCTGGGCGCTGCTTAGCTCATTTCCTGCAAGTCCTCTTTGCCTTCTCCTCTCCTCACACACTTCTTGGAGGAGGATGGTTTCTTCCCTGAAGTTTTGGAAAAAGGAACTCACATACAGAGAAATGGGAGTTACCTTGTTGGCTGAGATCATCAACTAGGATGATATCCTTGAGGAAGGCCTTTGGGGCTGTATCCATAATGCTGTGCACAGTTCTCAGCAGAGTAGACCAGGCTTCATCGTGGAAACAGATGATGACACTAGCAGTGGGCAGACTGGAGTCATATTTTTGCTGAAGACACCTACATGGGTGAAAATGAGGAAGACACTGGAAACACTGGAACAAATGGCTAAATTTTTTCTCAGAGCAAAGTTGTAAGCAGCACCTAAAGCTTTAGGGGTAGAGAGCAGTTTAAGATCTCAGCTCACTTCTAAGAAAAGGAAGCACTAAGGTGTTCAGAACTGGAATATGAAGTTAAAATATGGGAATGGCACTATCAAAATTATAATACAAAAAGAGGAAAATGTTCCTGTGTCCTGGGATAGGTTTTTTTCCTGCTCTGTCTGCTTCAAAAAACAGAGCTCAAACAGAAACGGCCCAGAACACAAAGAAAAAGTGAGGATTATTAGAGCAGAGTGAGGGATAAAGCAAGTCAGCCAGCCTCCACCAATTTCCATGTTTTCTCACATAAAAGAGAAAAGAGCAAACAATTGCAGTACCATTAAGACTAACAAAATAACTCATCTGCACAACAGATGAGTATATCTGTGGATTACCTGACCAAAATCCTAGTGAGTGAAGCTAGCATCTCAGTCCTTTATGGCAATGACATGGATCCTTACATGGGCCATGATTACAAATGTATGCACATTTAAGAAAAAAATGTATTTTCACTATGAAGTGTATACAGGTTGCTTTTCCAATGAAAATGAATCACTGCTGAATGAGGCTCCCAGCCAGGAGTCAGTGTGCAATCGAACCAGCAGAGCAGTCTGGAAGTGGGTGGAGTGGTGCAGTATGGACAATCAAGTTTTGGGGGTTTGTTCTGTCATTGTTTTTCATTGTCTTGGGCTCGGGGAACACTGGCTGCAGGGAGAGTCTGCCATCTTGTCTTTGTCTCAGGGGGTCACATGGTGCTGTGTAAGGCGACTGCCCACCATCTTGTCTTGGTCTCAGGAATAACTCCTTAACACTGCCAAGCCACAGGAATATCCCCCTGCCATCTTGTCTTTGCCTTGGGAATAACCACTGTCATTGCTGAGTCACAGGAACGTCCCCCTGATATCTCGTCTTTGTCTCAGTGGCCATGCAGAGCTAAGTCAAGGTGGTGAATGCCTTTTGTGTGTAAAGCACCTCTTTTTGTACACTTTTGTTATTAATATTGCTGCTGACATTGTTTCTTATGCCATTTCTGTTTGCTTTCAATAAATCAACTCACGAGTCTCTCCTTTGTCCCTCCCTCACCAGAGGGGAACAGGGGGAAGTTTAATTCCCAGCCAGTGTTAAACCACTACAATAATTCAAACATTTAAAGATGACAAATGCTTCCCATTCCTCCTCAGATAAACTGCATATGAAAACCATCTGCTCTGGTGTGAGGATGCATATTTTCCAGAAAAATGGGCCTTCAAATGCTCATTGTAGATATGCAAAGACTGTGTCTATATACTGCTTTGCTGACATTAGGAAGGACATTTAAAAAATCTTTTCATTTCCCAAATAACAGTCATTCAGTGTCCTAACTCATTTAATCTCCAGCAGCAAGAATTTCTTCAAGGAATTACACAATTGGCTGAATGTAGCCCATTGTTATTTCAGCATTTTTGTATTGCCAAGCAAATAATTATACAAATTTTACAGAGGTTGTTAAACAATTGGCTACTCAGCAGAAACTCATGGAAGGGATATAATTCTAGTATTTCTTTTTATTAGCATTTTACTTAGTGCTTCCGTTCATGAACTGAGGCCCTATGCTGCTAGACACTATCCAGACCCAAAGCTGCTAATCAATTAAGAGAACCCATAGTCTGAGTGATTTATTTATGAATACACATAAATGGTTACTATAGATGCACTTCTGGGAAAATATATTTCAAATGAGCACAATCTTAATAATTTATTATATTATTCAATAGTTCACTTTTTTTTTTTTTTTTGTGCAAAAAGGCACATTTTCTTGATGATTTTACACTGTAATTAATCTATATTGTCCTTGGTTTACTAATTTTGTGTAATCAACAATACTGTTACAATTTCATATATGGTGATTGTTTCCATTTTCAGCAGAATCAGGAAAAGAATACTCTCATGACTTGGGAGTGAATATTTTCAAGCAGTAGAATTGAGAAGTAATTAAGAAAAGTGAAGATCTGATGCAGTCCTTTTACTACCAGGCAGCTTCTAAACAGAAACATTCTATAGCTACTAGCACGTAGTTGCTAGTACTGTGGTTATAGGTTATTTTATATAGAAAATAAGGCTGTTGTGAAATCTTAATTGGAAAAGAATTGAAAATAACTGTACTTGAACACATAACCTTGATGGCAAGTGCTTAGTTGCCATGGAGATTGGCAAAGACTTGCAATATAGATATCTAATCTTCACAAAAATGCACAAGGGTACTGGTTTACAAGAATACCTTCCCTGTAATTTGGAGCAGTTTCATAGACTGTCTATCATAAATTGGCATTTCAAAAAGTCAGAGCTGTGACTGATATGAGACATAGTGATTTAATCTAATTTGTGAAAAACAAGGAATTGCCACATGCAGCAAGGAACTGAAAGCAATTCTGACAAGGCAAAGGCAGAGCTGGCAGGGACTCCCACTCACCTTCAGGAAAATGTTTCATTGAGATTCAGCTCCAAACAGCACTCCAAAAGAAGCTATACTTTTCTAATGAAACTTTAAACTTTTGTAGATACCTTGTGAGTTTCTTTTGCCATTTGACACTCAAACCCAAGAGAGGAAAATAGACCTTTCTTTTGGGCAGAACCCCCATCATAAAAGTCACAATGGTAGGTTTGATTCAGGTGTCCCAGGAGAGTGTCAGTCCCAGCTGGAGCAACTGATAACAGCAGAAAGCACTTTGAGGGAGGAAGGTACCTCAGAGGACGGGCCACTTCTTATATGAAGTATTTGCCATCCAATTTCAAGGGAAACATGACATGAGGGAGACTAAGTCCATGGAGGTAACTCACTGAAACATCTCTAACTGGTTGGCTTCCCTCTAATTAAATAATAATAGACATTGTGAAGAACGACATGATGCGAACTGAATAGAAACTCAGACAATCTGATTCTGGTTTGCTCTCTTTTTACACTGCTGTAAAACTGGACTGACACAATTGCAAGCCAGGCCCCCAGAGTAAACTACACCTAAAAATTATCATTGTGGTTTGTGTGTTGTGCCATAAAGGACAGGTCTGGCTTAGACATATCCTGCTGCAAGTTTATGATCTGGATTTAGATCAGCCTGAGATGCTGAGATCTGAGGTTTCAGTCTGGGCTCAGTAAGCTGTGGTGTTGAGAGTTCTTTAGGCTGTAACTAGTCAGGCAGTAAAATTCATCCAAGAGCTCTGAGACCATGGCTTAAATTTTACCAAGATCAGTATTAACTAAAGCTGTCTCTTGTTGGATGGCCCTTCAGCTGCCAAAATAAAACTGTTTTTTGGCTTTCCACCACAGGCAGTAAACCAGGGTAGTCATTCCTCCTTTGAACATTACATAGTTCAAAGAGTTAGCAGTGAGGCATGCCAAAAAATAACTGAAATAATATCAGCATGTCATTATTTAATGGATTTAACCAAATTAACACTGAACCTAGTCAGTAAATACAGGAAATACTGTTTCATTTCTCTTTCTTTGTGACTGTGCCTTAAATTAGAGCAGCCAGCTGTCTTTAAACATGTGAAAATGAACACACGTGTGGTGGTTTGAAAAAAAAATAAAAATTCTGTGTCTTATTTAAAATGTTTTCTGCTATATCTTTCCACCGTGTCCTGGGAGAAAATTACAATTATTTTTGTTACAGGAGACAAGACACCACTCACATCTCTTGCCCTCCCCCTGGGAAGGGAAGCATCAATTAGGCTGGAAAAGACCTCTGAGATCATCAAGTCCAGTCTTTGATTGATCATCACCTTTTCAATGAGACCACAGCACTAGGTGCCATGTCCAGTCTTTCCTTAAACACCTCCAGGTACAGTGACTCCACACCTCCCTGGACATTTCATTCCAATGTTTAATTGCCCTTTCTTTGAAGAAATTCCTCCCAATGTCCAACCTGAACTTTCCATCCTTGATAGTAGATACACCTCAGATCCTTTTTAAGAAGTGTGATGAGTAGCCCCTCCTGGGCTGCTGGGGCAACTGACTCTCAAGTCTCCAGACTTCAAATGTAACACCTGGGGCTTCAAATACATTTTTTGCAGTGGCCTTACAGCCTGGCTGCTGACAGGTATGGTAGTGTTGGCAGAGCTTGTCCAACACACCAATATCCACCTTCCTTCCTCCCAGGAGTTTCCTTTCAATACTTGCCACAGACTCACAGGATATTCTGATTTGGAAGGACCCACAAGGATCACTGAGTCCAACTCCCAGCCCAGCCCAGGACACCCTAAGGATCAAACCATTTGCTTGAGAGCATTGTCCAAACTCTCCTTGAACTGTCAGGTTTAGTGCTGTGACCACTTCCCTGGGGAGCTGTTCCAGTTCCCAGCCACCCTCTGGGTGAAGAATCTTTTACTAATATTCAGCCTAAAGCTCCCTTGACAGAACTTCAGGCCATTCCCGGCTCCTGTCACTGGTCAGCACAGAGATCAGTGCCTACCCTCCTCCCCTTGTGAGGAACCTGTAGACAGCAATGAGGTTTCCCCTCAGTCTCCTCCAGGCTGAACAAACCAAGTGACCTCAGCCGCTCTTCACACAGCTTCTCCTACAGACCCATTGCCAATCTCTGACAATCACAGACAATCTCGGTTGTCCTCCCCTGGACACTCTTTAACAGCTTTGTATCTTTCTTACATTGCGGTGCTCAAAACTGCACACGGTATTTGAAGTGAGGCCACACCACTGCAGAGTCGGCTCCACTTTTATGAGTGACCACCGGGTCACTTTTGCTCTGGAATCCCTGGAAGCTCTAACTCTTGACTCATTCATCACTTTGCAAGCCCAGTGACCCCGTAGCTCTGGCAGGTGGGCTGAGACGGGGCCTGGCCGAGGACGGACGCCGTCTCTCCTGCTCGCCAGCCCGCCGCGGGTTTCCTTCCCCTCCGCAGCCCAGCAGCCGGACAGACGGCCGGACAGACGGCCGGACAGAGAAGGGCGGGGCCCGGGGCGGCACCTGCCGTGAGGCGGTTGCCGGTAGGGGGCGCTGCCGCCCGCTCGGCCTCAGGNCCCTCCCGCACCGTGCCCCCCTCCGCCTTTGCCGCCCGCCCGCTCCTGAGGGCTTGAACCACCTCCCGAAGGAGGCTGGGGGCGTCCCTGGTCTGAGGAACGGAGCGCCCGACCCGGAGCGGGGAGTTCGATAGGAAAGACGCGAGGTCTAGAGAAGGAGAGGTGCGGGGTTTGCAGGAGAGGTTCGGGGGGGGCGCGGCGGCGGGGAAGGAGGCAGGTTTTCCCCCAGAAGTGAAATAGGGTGTTTTACTTACAACGGGTGTCGTACCTCAGGCAGGTCCCGGCGCAGCGCGATCCGCTCGCTGAGCGCCTCGTTAAAGCCGTGGGTTTCCAGGCCGAGCGGCCGCTCCCCCGCAGCAGCCCCTTGCCCATCTTGCAGGGGAAGGGACAGCGGCTGGGACTCGGGGCCCCCCTCTGCCTTCCCCTCCGGCCGCCTGCCCTGCTGCTTCACCACGCGATAGCCCTTCCTGGCCTTGCTGTGGTTCCTTTTGCCGGTGGGCGACACGACGGCCATGATCAACTCATCCTCCCGCAGGGAGATGAAAGGCGACAGACCATCCAAAGGGTAATACTGCTGGCTCTCCTCCTGGGTTTCCAGCATCTCTTGGGTCTCCACAGAGTCCATCTGATACCCTTCCCGGGCGTTGAACTCCACAGGCTGGAAAGTCCCTTCCTTGCTCTGGTTGCTGGGTGGTGGATTCAGCGTTGTAACCATCAGTAGCAAAAACCCCAGCATCAGAAACAACAAGAGAAACTGCAGCTTACGTGATCCATATCTGCACTTCTTCCTCAAGAACATACTGTTGGTGACAAAATGATACAGATGGTCATGTTAAATATCACTTGGATCTTCCTCAGATTTCAGTCTTCGGGTTGCACAAAAGCCCTGGTTTTCACTGTCTGCCAAGAGGATTTTTTTGCTCCCTTCACATTTCATTGATGCCATTTCATGCTTTCCTCTCTATTTACAGAAAAAAAGAATTATAACATTCCTATTAATATTGTACTTACTGTAGTTAAATGTAGCATGGATCCAGTGAGATAAATTAGATCCGTTATTATACGGAGTCTCAGCTTAGTTAGGAAAGTGCATGCTTTGCTGATTAAAAGAGTAACTAAAGCTTTGATTTCTTTTCCCCCCTTTTAAAATTCTAAGACGAAAGAAATCCCGTTTCTCATAGTTTCTTTCCAGGGTAGATCCTGCTTCTTCAAAGTTTCCAATTGCTTCCTGGACTGAAGCACAGTATCTCTGAAAGCAGATCTGACAGCTCTCCCCCGTTCAGAGGCTTCAAGTTAACTGTGATCAACAGATGAGAAGTAGTCGGTCCCTGACTTTGTTTCACACATAACTACGGCACTCAGTCAGGAAGCACTTTGCCAGACATAATACAGAGCAATGTGTGCGTCTTTCTCTTGGTCCTAATGCCCTCACTGTGCTTGTCCTATCAAATCAGAACTTTGCAAAAGCTGTAAGAGGTGAAATGCAAGAAGCAAAACGTTGCATTAGAAATCAAGGCATGCCACAGATTGCTGTACATTGGAACAGCTATATTAAGCTGAGAATGCACAGAGCAAGAATCAAGAGTTTTATAAACTGAATAAAAGATGGAGAGCACATGTTTTATTTAAGGTTAGATTTATTCATATGATAATGTGTTAGCTGGAATATATTTCATATCCAATAAATATTTACAGCTATACGGATTTTAACAATGACATAAGGGTGCCAAATTATCACCTGGCAGGCTGAAGTTGTCTCCTCATCCATAAATTCGGTATTGCAGGGCAAGCAGCACTTCAAGTTTTCCTTAGTCCAGTAATAATATGTATAAAGCCTGAGCTGGAACAACAACCACTGACACTGAGAGAAAATAGCAACTTCTGTGATTAAAAGGAGAGCTCAGTCTCTGAGGTCTGTTTGCTAATACTGCTGGCATGGGTGCTACTGGGCATGGACTGAGGCATTTTTTGCTGTGAGATGAGTGCTTGTCCAATGGGAGAAGGGGTGAGACAATCCACATGCTTCAGCATCACATGCCTCTTGGTCTGGCAGAGATCAGGGATGGATGCAACTCAGGTGTTGCCAACCCTTTTGATGCTGGGGGCGTGAGATGTGCTGTTTTTCGTATCTTGCAATATTTGATGAGCAGAAAGCTCCTGCTTCAGGAGGCATGCTTACTGGAGAACTTCCACACTCAGAGATTTTAAAAAAGCCCTACATTTATAGACATTATAGCTAAAAGAGTAGCCTGAAGACAGGCATGCAGTATACTCTAAAGGAAACCAAGGATCTGGGTTTTTTTACCTTCTTTGCTATTACTTCCCTCTAAGATGTTCTATAAGTTCAGACTATGGTTCCTGGTAGACAGCTTCCAAAAAAATTCAAAATGAGAGTACACCTACTTTTCAGATTAAAATGCGCCACAACCTTCAAAAGCAAGGGTGGTATAGAGCACCATAAGATTGCTGAAGGCACATAGTGTCTCACTTCTGTGTGCACTCCCCTAAGCAGCTTATACAGAATGCCTTGAGGGAGTGTGACTGGTCTGCTGTGTCTTGGCACCTTCCCTACATCAGCTGTTCTTTAAAATATACAGAACTGCTTTAATCATATCTTGGGCAGAAGGAAGAATGAGCCAATATTTTGATACTTCACCATTGTGTGTATCTCCCTTTTTAAGCTTAAATTCACAAAAAAGTAACATCCCAATTCACCATCAACCCTGAGAATATTACTTTTTATTCTGCTTTTCATAGGGAAAAAGAAGTATTGATGATTTCAATTCAATAGGAAAGCAGCACACATTTGCATTAAAAAAATCTGAGCTCGAAAGCACTCATTTAAATTACAATGTTTCAGCCATACAAAGACAAAATTAAATGGAAATGAAGAGACCTGTCCAAGATGTTCTCCAAAAAGCTTTCACAGGGACTTGCAAAAGGTTCAGTTCCACAAAGTCCCATTATCAGGCATATGGAATAAAATAAAATTAAATTAAAAGAAGAAACTTAAGAGTGGGTGGAATAAATGGGAGAAAGCATTACTTTCTCTTCCCCCTTTTTAACTTTTCTGGGCTATGTGAGTAGTATGATTTAATTTAATTAATATTTTTTCCCTGGCTAGAATATTTTAACAAGATGCTATAACAAGTCTGATCAAGATAATTCTAGCCTGCAGTAGAAATTGCTGTATAGATTCTGTCCTGGTATGTTCTGTATTGCTGAGCAAATCCACCTGGGTCACTTGTGCAGCTGAATTTCAGCTACAGATGAAAAGACACTCAATTAACAAATTTACAGCAATCTTAGACACTTTTGGGACAGAGCTGATAGGTAATATTATCACTGAAGCATATGCATATGGAATCCAGCTTTTTAATATATCCTGACCATTTTAACAAAGAAGAAATGAACAATTACAGAAGCTATTTGTTCAGTCTAGTCAATTAAATGTGCAAGTTTAAAACACTGGGTGGCACACTTCCAACAGCCTCTATTCCCTCTTTTGCACAACAAGCCTTCCAAAACCATTTCCCATCAAACAGTCTGTTTTTCAATCTTGTCTCTTAAAACAGTGGGTTTCCACTGCCATCATACAAAAGAGATAGTGCCTTTTCAATGGCTGAGCCCCCCTTTAGTATCTGACAGGACATGTCTTGTTTCCTTCAATGCATTTGAAGGACAGCATCACTGTTATGATCTCCCCACATGGCAGTCAAGAATACAACATCCATTGTATTTTTCAATTCACTTCTCAGTAAAGTTCTTGGTTACTCAAAGATGTGCTACAAAGTAGGCCCTTCATTGGGACACAGGTTACTCCTCCTGACTAGCTGTTGAGGATTCCCTTTCCTAGGATGCTTTCCTGCGCATCCTTTGATGGAAGAGGAAGGAGCATTACATGGCCCAGGCTTTCCTGTCAGACACAGAGCCATTGCCTTCATCCTGAGGTCCAGTCTTTTAAGTGCTGCTTCATGCAAGTAGCCCACAAAGAGGCTGCCCACAAAAGGTATTATTGTCTTTGGACTGCTGTTCTACAGCAAGCCCTTGAGCTCCTCAATCCATGGGAAAGGAACGTTGTGCCCAATACACCAGCAATTGTAAAATCACAAAAAGGGCCAGTTTGCAGTGTCAGTATTGGCCAGTGCCAACTTTCCTGCTGGTCAACCCATGCAAGAGCTGATCCTACCAGGCCTGCTCAGGTAGGCCCAATGGTATGAATACCTTCAGCAAATGCAAAGTCAGTTATTGACTTCCTTAAGAAAATACTCACAGTCATTCAATATTGCTAATTTTGCTCATTAATTGCCAAGAGCTGGAACATGGAATCAAATCTAGGGCTTGTTAATTCAAAAGGTATCAGGAAACATGGTTGCCTTTTGCAGAGTAACAAACCTTTCAGTCATTTTCTGTAGCTGTTTGTACTTACCCTTTCCTCCCCACTTCATTTTGGCTCACATTTTTGTCCAAACCATTCTGCATCACATACTTGTTCAATATTACGTGACATGTTATGTTATCTGTACGTGAAGAAACACCACATACTTTCAGTGTGCAGAGCCCATGCTTGACTGCCAGGAAAATAACAAAGCAAGAACAAACCCAAGGCTGGATGGAAGAAAGAGCGTGTGGACAGGTCGTTACTGACTCTTTAATAAACATCTTGGATTGATTTACACTCCTATGCCAAAAGCAGATGTGCCACTTGCATTTAAAGACTCAACACATACAGCACTCATGGTTTCATAGCTGCGTGTATTGTATGCCACGGCTCTTTGTGCTTGTAACAATGGCTTTATTTGCACAGATGTGAAGAAAGTGCATGAAAGGAGACTGTTTACACGGTGCACAAGATTTGTGGTGTTTTTGTTACCAAGTAACTTCCCCCTTCTTCCAAGAATATAATAAGAAATATGTATTTTTAGATCAGAAGAAGGTATAATTTATTTGCAGGTATTGCAGATGGTTTGTGTGCATGGCATTGTAGCAAATATTGCTCATTCAATGATACTTTCTAAGAGCAAGTGAATAATAAATTAGAACAAGATTCTGTGGAACTTGCTTTTGAAAGCTATAAAAAGCTTGATAAAATCTGTTGATCACTAGCAGGGATTTTGGAACTTGCATCGTGATTTATAAGATGTTTGCCAACCTGTCAGTGAAGGAAATGCATCTGAAATTCCATTTTTACAAGATTTCTACTCGTAAATCATGTCCCATATAAAATGGAGCAAGGAAGCCATGGACTTTTGCACTGCTTTTCAAAAGCAGTTCTGTGTGCATGAAGGTCAGGCACACTGGATGGAAAGTAAAGGTAATATATATCACAGCAGGGACAGCTTCTGAGTTTACTGCACCACAGCCTGTGGCTAACTCAGAAATGGTAGTTCTCAGGATGTTAAGGGCAATACTGTGTACTCCATGCCTAAGATCTAGCCTCTAACACAGCCCTAGACAGCTACCAGCTATTTGTGAGGGATGATCATAGGAAAGATACATCCGAAGTGCTGTGGGTAATACACAGGCTATCACTACCTCCTGCCTCTCAATCATCCACTATTAATATCCTCGGGCTGGAGAGGGTTCTGAACCACCCTAAGGTAATCTGAATCCAGTTTTGAACTGGTTGTGACTATTTTAGTGTCAACATTATTCATTAGAATATCATTCTGCATTGACCGTAAAATCTAACCCACTGTTAGGGATAGGTGGCTCTAAATTGCAGGTGGAAATAGAAATAAGGTGGTTTACTCTTTCAGAGTGGCTGACCTGGCCTCCTTGGCTTTAAAAAATGAAACAAATGCCATGAAGGAAATTGATCCTTCATGTGGTATTAACACCAGTTGTGTTACAACAAAGATAAATTCAGCCCTATGGATGGAAGGTCATAAGAAGGAATTCTTCATGATGGGTACTCCCCTAGGGATCTCTGCCTGTCGAGTTTCATTTATGGTTGGAAATTTACTTCCATGGAACAAGCCATGAAACCATTTGCAATCAGAAATCTCAAAAAACCTGAATGATACTAAAGGTACCCACAGCAAAACCTTTTTTCCCCACCAAGGACTCTTTAGCTGGTGGGCAGCTTTAACTTCATGTCTGTTCCGTTTCTTTCTGGACATACAAGTGGTACATAAATAGCATGTGTCTCTCAGAGACTCTTAATACAGACAGCATTTAAAACTCCAATATTCATATGCAAAGCCTGTCCCCATAGTAAGTATTTTTAGTTAAAATGGTGTCTAGTAAAGAGAAAAATCTTTAAATGGTTCTGGCATCTCTTCACACATTTAAGCGCTTAGTCATATGCGGTTACGTACAGATTGTTCCTGTTTCAAGGCAGTGGTCATCCACATCACCTAAACTGGAAATTACCATTTTTTATTCCTCCTAAATAGTTACATATTTGTGTGTAGCTGGTATAATAAATGTGCTTCAGTTACCTGCTGAGTATTACAGGTTGGATTTATCAGTGAATTTGGCACAGAGTATCATGAGGAGAAGACAACATTTAATGAGGGTGTGAAGAGTGAATGATTTCACTCTTGCTGGGGGCAGTTCAGAGCTGAGGAAAGCACGAGTTAAGTCACTGCAGGTGTGCAGCTTAATGACCTGTAGCTGGGTAGCAAGTGTGCATGAACTGAGAGCACAGAGGGCATGTTTGGGAATGCTATTACAGTGGAGGAGCTGAAGTAAATGGATGGATATGTGAGGTAAGGCTACAGTGTATATTATTTTTTTGTGCTTTCATTTTTAATATGAGGAAAACACAGAGCAAATGAAAGTAAGCTGTATTAATGTAACAGGTGTGTGAGTGGGACCTATGACTTCTCTTTATATTTCTCAAACAAGACTTATATTCTTTAGCTGTTTGGGAGAGGAAAGTGGAAAACAGTCACTTTTGTGAGCCTGTTTCCTTTATTAGTTCTTTTTGTTTCTAAAATACCAATTTTAAAAACACAGTACATTCACAAGAGTTAACACTAAAGTTACGATGCAGTTCAGCTGTGTGTATGTAAAAGTTTACGTTCAAGAATAAAGGCCTAGACTCCTACCCCCTGTTGAAGTTTAGCTCATGATGGGATGGATATTCTGTAAAATATGGGACCATATGTATTGATGTAGATCTTGAAAATGGTTGTTAGTAATCCAAAACAAACCCTGTGCTTTTCTTTAAATTTGTTTAGAATCATCAGTATTCACATAGAGTAAATAAAGGTTAAATATAAAATAGTATTAAAAAGGAAGCTGAGCTTCATGCCTAAGATGTTCTAAATAAAGTAGTTTTAGCCCAGAGATGGGCATGTGCACTGTAACTGGTATCTGTGGGAGCTGTGTGTGGGCTATGCATTTAAAAGCAGGATTGAATTTAGGGCAAAAGATGGAAAGGAAATACCTGTGTATGTATGTGTATAGAACTTCAGTCTGCGTATATACTATGTGTGTGTGTGTGTGTGTACATATAATAATATAAATATATAAAATAAAATCAACCCCGTCTACTCTCATATATTTCCATGTGTTTTATCCTGCCATCCTGTCCTATGTACTCTGGTTGATTTGTGAGGGTTACTAAAGATAGGAGTAAACCAACTGCTGAAGATACTTCCTTTTTTGCCTTTTCCCCCACCCTGCAGTAGATAAAACCTCCTATTTTCGTTCCTTTAGCAGTACAGAACTGAATATTAAGTATATGACTTTAATATGTTAATATACTTTTAAAACTTGCTACCTATATATGTTTCTGGTTAACAGTGACACTCTGGGAAGCTGCTCAGTAATGCCTGAAACTTAGTCATGTTTCCATTTTGTGACCATCACTCTGGATCTGGGTTTGTTTTGGATCAGCTGTTTTCTTGGCCTTAAAATAGGATACCAAACTACCTTGATTAAGGAAACCTGCTAAGGGACATGAGGCCCCTTTGTTTACTGTCTCATGAAAATATCTTCACGTTGGCAAGCCATTAAAAGAATAACAGAGTGGAAGGAAGACGCAAGACAGCTGAGATATCTGGTAATTTACTGCATTCCCTGTGCAAGTCTGTGTTTCCAAAGGAACTGCTCTGGTAGAAAGGAAAGGAGTGTCCTTTCCAAACATAGACTTGGCAGGAGGTGAGGTACAGAGCTACAAAGAACACTCACTACAAGAAAAGTCTCCTCCTGCCTTACAGTTTTCAAGAGTTTTCTGTGTGATTTTTCTGAGCTTTCTTCTTGACAGAAACTTAGGCAAGAAACAGGGATTTTGGAAGCCAAGTTATAAGAACTAGGATTGTTATAGCAACAGGTTAAATCCTTGAAACTTCTGACTTCTTAGCAGCCTAGAAAATGGACAGATGTGATAGAAGATGGAGGCTGTGGTCACCTCTGACTGCCAAGTAAGAGGCAATAGGAGCAATCATGAACAGTTTTATTACTCTGACCACAAGCAAGACAGGTTGTTAATAGTAGTGAGTTAATATTTTAGAAGATATATCTGCAAAAATATCATCCAGGTTGCAAAGGTAATCAAGGCAGGAATTTGTGACTGTCAAGTGCCAGGAAAGCTGCTGTCATTCACCAGACTCTGGACATGCTTTGAGCTGCTCAAGAACATAAACTGTGATATGTTGCAGATTATTCCAGTTTATTTTTTTCTGTGTTTGTGACTGAAGTAAAGGTTTATTTTTCTTCTCTTACTTAATTGCTGCATATGGTACTAGAAAACTGATATGATTAGTGATAGATAACCGAGTGATTAGTGATAGCTAATCATTATAGTGATTTTTCCCTGACTCCTTACTTCTTCATGTTAAGTCTTGAACTGTGGTTTCATTTTGTTTTGGCTTAAAAAAAGCTATTATTGCTGTTATTTTTTTTCTGTTTAGGGAAAAGGCTCTCTAGGCATAGGTAGGGATACTTGGTTTGTGAAAGTGGTTAGCCAATGCAGTCTGAGAAGCCATCTGGGAAGTTAGGGCTCACAGAAATTGAAACAACTAACAGAGCTGTTAAATGAGGAGAAAAGGAGGCAGGCCTACTGCCTAGTAATTTGAACAAAGTCTTTGTCCGAGGGTATTGAATGCTTCTCAGAAATCACACTCCTGGCATCTGTACAGCGAGAGACTGAAAATGTGAAGAAGACAATTTTGGTAGGGGAAAGTCCTATTTTTTAAGGGGATACCTGGGGATAGCATCCTTTTCTGAAGACCCCTGTGACTGTAGATTTATGTTATGATAGGTGAACTAGGAACTTGGGCTGTTCTTTTACTAGCACTAACATTTTTGTCATCAGCCTCCATGAATAAGTCCATGTGAGTTTTGGGATACTGTTTTGGGATACAGTGATTCAGAGATTCTGCACCAAAAGGAAAATAGAGGGAAGAAATTTTTCAGTAGATGTTAATAAATGGTCCTGTGGATTTCTCAAGACTTTTCCTATGTAAGGAAAGGCAAGATGCAGGGAAAGAGATCATCACTACAATCATCATGGGAGACTTTTAATTGGGGTCAAAGATGGTGAAAATTTGCACTGCCACATATGAAACCAAACCCACCAGTTCATGGCCTAGATAAGAGTCAAGACCAGTATCTGGCTGTGAACCTGGTCTGCTGGATCATTTCAATCTATTAAGACTATCACTTCTACCTTACAGTAAATCTGTATCCTCGCCCAGCTTTCTGGGTTATAGAAAGGCTGATCTATAGTCCTGAAGAAGTTGTACACCAAAAGCTGGGAAAGTGGCTTACATTTTAAGAGGAATTCTCCAAACCAGAAGGTAAAGTGAGTGTGTGTGTTCAAGGGGTGCTGTTAGACTTCTGGAAACCATCACTCAGCAGGTATATGAGCAAAAATAACACATCTTTATAGTGGTTTTAATAAAGTGCACTTTATAGCACCTTTCATCTTCAAAGAATGAAACAAATTTATTGTTAGTATAAATCCACAGGGACCAATGAAGATGAAGAAGGGAGTGCAGTTACCCCTTTACTAATCAGGGTCATGATTCCACAGGAGTATTATTTTGTACCATGTCAGTAACTATTACAAAATCTAGGAGGCTGCAGTACGAATTTAGCTGCAAAAGGCAGACTGAATCTTGTGACTGCAGACTTAATGGCCATCATTAAGTATAATATATATGCATAGCTGCAGTACACTTTTCCAAGACTCTGGAAAGATCAGCTGAGTAACTGACTACAGGAGTGTAAAATTTATACCTCATCTCACTAATGACTACTTTTATTCCTACTGCATGCAGTAGGAAATTCTGTAGATCATATTACACACAGAACTGTACCTCATTCTCTTTCTCACCCTCTTCCACAGCATCACTTTCAGTGCATTCATTGACAGTATGGAAGCTGTCAAAGTTCAAATTAAGGAAGTGAAACACTGGACATCATACAGGCATCCAAAAAGAAGCAATACATTTATGCCTGTTAGTAAAGCAGAGGATTTTGGAAATGAGAATACAAGCAATGTGACGTTTCAGCAGGGAATGGAGAACATCTCTTCCATGTTGCCGTAGTAATTTTATGGTGTGGAAAGGGCACAAGGCCAATATGTGAGGCTAGGTCTCTGTTTTCCCCTTGGCTCTACATACTGAGAGTGCAAGCTAATTCATTTTGCTTGGCTCCTGCAAAGAACTTCAAGGATCCCCTCTTTATCTAAGCAAGCTTTGGCAAAATCTGCCTGCATTTTACTTTTATAGTGGGAACTTTACACAGAATTCAGATTACTAATGGCTGGCAAATGAATATGCTGGAATGTCTCAGATATGACTAATCTCTGTTTCACCTCTTTTTATGTTTTATTAAGAGGGGAAAGGGAAAAAAATCTCTCAGAAACACTACCAAAGCAAAGAATAAACTTTACATTAGGTAGTGGCTTACAATACACAGCCCCAAAACCTAATAAGGTGGGTATGAAACTGTCTCATTGCTACCAGTATTTTAATAGTTTGTGGATGGGATTCTTTAAGCAAGACCTCCTTAAATTTGACTAGTGTGAATTATTGGTGGAAGAGCTGTTGTCCATGTAAAAGTAGCTGGTTAGTGTGGGACTTCTTGCAAATACTTCACAAAGTTTTTTCTTAATTATAGAATCATGCAGGAAGGGCAGATTTCAGCCTTATCTTTCTGATTACCTTCTTAGAGTTTAATTTTAAAAATGAATGGATGGGCATTCCTAACATGGAAGAAATTATATACCTACATATAAGTAACCCCCTCTACATATTTCTTAAATACTTAAAATGCTTTGAGAATTTAACCTGTTCTGGTAATGTAATGCACCAAGTTTTTTATTGTATGGAAATTAGTCTCTGCAGTCATTTAGGCTCTTTGGTTTCTGTGAAATGATCGTCTGTTCTTGGTGTATAAACATTGCAAGGAGTGGTAGCCAGGAAACACATATTGGTATTAATGGTAACCGCAGAGTAAGCGACCAAGAATTCCTTTGGAAGCTGCACAGACTGCTCTGTTACTTGTTACTCTGTAAACAACACTGGAGCATATGCCTTGTGGTATGCTCTGTACATGGAGGAAGGTAGAGAATTAGCAAACTCCTTAAAAGTTTCTTCAGAAAGATCTAGTGAATGGTGACAGTGCCCTGGAAACCACACAAAAGTGGGATATGAGGAGATGGGGACTCTTCCCTACTCCTCCCATTTAGTCTTTGCTGGTGGATCACTTACTTGTGCATCTCCTACATTTCTGTCTGTTTAGATTTCTACCT